GAGATATTATGGAAAGTTCCATAATATTTTATTATCTTATAATTGCCTTTTTGTTTTCAAGCTGTTCTATTGCAAATGGTTTGCCACAATGTGCTGAATTTGTCTTTTGTATTTTCCTTCATATTCTGAATAATTTATAAAAAATAACTAGAAATTAAAGACAGATTTTTCACTTTGGTAAATCTAACAGTCTGTATAAACAAAACTTTAGAAATCATTAAACAAATTCAAAAGGTAACAGAGAAACTTCTAAGCAGAAAATTAAAGCAAATTAATCGAGTAAATTACTTTGTGTGAATAATTCACTTCAGCTTTATTTCAAAAATTTGCTTATTATTGATCATTAATTAGAAGAATGGTGCTATATGCAAACTTAATTGCATTTATTCTAAGTACAGATATTTTCTCAGTGCTTTAAAAATATGCATCCTTCAATGTACTTCTGAACAGTTAGTTTGCACATTGATAAGTGTTAATGCCGTGCTAAAACTTATGTGATATCATTCTGTGAATGCTAGAGAACTAAGGGTAAGTAAACATGATTAACTGCAGACTGTGATGCTAAACATATTCAATTATTCAAGTGAATGTTCCTCTCCCTTTCAGCTAATGAGAAATTTATGGATTAGCCTTTTCTGCCATCCCTGGTGGATATTCCTTCCTATTGTTAAGAAATGAGGGATAATGTAATGAGATGCTCACTTGATTACTATCAATAAGACTTCAAATGGTAATTTTATGAAGCAGCAGCTAAATTTATCCCAGGTGTAACATCAAGAAAATCGATAACATAGCAGCAATGAATATTGTGCTAGAAAACTGATTACGTAGATCACTGCAACATATTTGTATGATAACTTTGACTTAAATGATTTCTTAAATTACAAAACATATATATATATATATTTTTCTAATGACATTGAGTCATTATTTATTTAAAGTCTTTGTGTTTATTTAAAGACTTTGTCTGGGAGAAGGGCCAGTCTGTGGAGAATCAGCAGAAAACCTTGCTGACCTTATTAAGGTGCTGCCTGGGCTTCCCATTCAAAGATGTATATAACTAAGGGCTGAAAAGCAAGCCATGGGTGCACTCTACATGTCTGTCAACTTCCACAGACAAGCTTTTCCACTAGGAGAGCTTAATGTGGTCCCTTAGGATAAGCTGGAGTATCTGGGAGACACAGGTAAGCTAGGATAGGGCTGCAGTGCCCTTGCAGACTGCAACTTCCAACAGTCAACTGAAAGAGGAAGGATCCCTGCTGTGGACTAGGGCTGTAAAGGGAGTGTGCTGACAAATAAACTAGATATGTGATTATTGGGCAGCGCTTGAGCCCACAGTAGTTCTTCAAGGGCTCATGTTTATTGAGCTTACCGCAGATATTCCATCTCCTGGAGCTGCTCCTGTGATTACTTTTGCACAAGCTTTCAGAATGGATCTTAGACTGAGATCCCCTGCTGTCCTCAGCAGACCTAATAGAGTGATTTAGGATGCACTCAGCAAACCTGATCTGGATCCAGAAGAGGAACCCAGCTGACCAGGGGTTCCTGCTGAGATATCCAATAACTAGCCAAACATCTCAAGGCAAAGCATCTCTTTGGAAACAAAGTATCTCAATAGACAGTTTTACTTAATAAGAAAGGTTTATTTTAAAGCCTCATTTTCTTTTTTAGAATCATAAAAAACTAGAACTGCATGCTCTCTCTATTGATATGAAATGAATCTGTTGCTCTTAAAATGAACTTATGAACTTATTGCTCATTTTCAAATGAATATTTTCTATTACAAAAAGCATTAGTCTCGAGATGACTGGCAATCATTCAAGCTTTTGGAACAGAAAGCCCTAGCACAGGCTTATAGAAAATTCAGCAAGAGCCTTGTGCAGGAGTTCCCTTCCCCACAATGAGATTTCTCTAAATTATGCTATCTACTTCAAGAGTAATTGCAATAAATTTGATATGACCAGCAAACATAAAGTATGCCAGGATATCACAGTTCATTACAATAGGATCTCCATTGTGGACTAATAATAAATAGTAATGCTCAGATAACAGCCAAGAAAATGTAACTTCTGAGCGTTGAAAGAACATAAATAAGGCTCTGAACTCATTGGATCCTGTTCTGAATAGAATGAATGGATGCCCTGTGGACTTCTATCGAAGTGATGGATGAGGGTTTTTCTTTTTTGACTACTGAAAATGCAAGGAAATAAAAAATGTACCCAACCCTCAGACTTTTAATCCTCCTCTTGCATTTGTAGCAGATCTCTACTCCAATGAGTGACTGAGGACTGTGAACACAGAATGTGAAGGACAAGCGCTCCAGCAGGAATATTTCAGATGTAGTGGTACCTCGGGCACTTAAAGGAATATGGTCAAATAATGTCTGCTGTGGGTTTTGCTTCACTTTACGTTTCCATGTTTCTAAAAATCATGTTTTCCAGGAAATACAAGCATATTATCTTCTTTTGTTCTTGAAGTGTCCTCTCTTTTCGAAAGATTTGACTTTTTCCCTTCGTTTTCTTTTTTCTTTTTTTTTTTCTTTTTTTTTCTTTTTTTTTCTTTTTTTTTTTTTAAGCACAATTCAATTTAGTATGCTTTTTTTTTTTTTTTTCTTTTTTGCAGTACTGATCCTGTCAATCAACAGCTAGCTGTTATATGCACTTTTTAATACTATTTTGTGCTCTTTCAAGCAGCTCTGTCTAAGCATATTGAAACATATTTCAGCTGCAGCGCAGTACAGTATTTTAATCTTTCTGTCATGGCAGTGGATGCACAGAGAACTCTACTTATTTTTAGATTATAACTGAAAAATTTAAAGCATTGACAGATTATTATTGTGAACTCATGAAGGAGAAAATTAAAAGTTCAAGGGACAAACTCAGTGCTAATCTAAAACTACCACTACATGTGGAGATAATAAACATCCATAAATTGTAAAATTTGTCCAAATATCATCCATGAATTGACAATGTGTGTGGATAATCTTGTGATAACATTTTTATTGTCACTCAGGCTGAAGCAGAAGTAATCAAATCTCATTTGTCAAGGCTAGCTTATTATTTTAGCCATGTGAAGGGATCATTTCTTTCCAAAGCTACAAAGGAAGAAAATCTGCAACAAGGCAAGTATACAGAAGGCTTTTGATCTTGTGAAGTATATGATCTAGGGCAGAGACAAGAGTGTTGACTGATGAATAGTATGACTCATCATGGATTAATAAAACCAACCAAACAAAAAAACCACCATCTTTTACTTTATGTTGTATCTACAGAATTTTATGGTTCCTTACGATGTTGGAAGCCTTTACTTATTTGTTACAATGTTTTCTTGCAAAAATATTCCATATGCATTGCTCTAGCATGCAATAAGCAATATTTACAATGGAAGTATTTTTTCTATGCTTAACTTCAAACTATTCAGTTATGGACATTATACGTAACAGATAAATCACATATGATTTAAACTTATGTTAAAGTCTCTCACCTGCTTCTGAGAGACGCAATGGCTTAGTGCTAGAAAATAATTTCTTTTTTAGACACTCAGCAGAATCCAGGGAGGGTTGTTTTGATTTTGTTTGTGAAGCAGTTGTTAAAATTATCATGTTCCTTCTCTCACATCTGAAATAATAACATCTATTTTACTTTTAGAAGATAAATGCTGACTGTGCAAGGAGATGAATGAAATACCTCTTGTCTAGCCTCCCAGTGCTGATCTCTGGACAGCAGGTCTGTTGATTTCAGAGCTGAAATGCATGATATTTGATCAAACTCTTGTTCTATGTTGTTCGGGTGTTAATGATAATTTTCTTTTTATTTGGACAAAAAGACTTTAATATCCAAAATAGACTACTAGGATTACTTGGATTATCTCCTGGATTGCATAATCTGTAAAACAGAAACAGCTGATATCTGTAACAAATACATAGATTTTTTTGAACTTGAGATTGTTTTCTTCCATTTTGATAATTTGTTTTTTCAGGAGATAATAATTCTTGGGGGGGGGAAAAAAAAAGTGAATTTTCCATGCAACTATCTCATCTGCATTTTCATCTGCTTACAGGCTAAGTATTGGGTAAAATTGTTTTCATAAACATTTTGTCTAATTTTGTATATACTAGGCCATGACCTGGTTATTGAACTATGTTGTGTCACTCATGAATTGTTTCTGGTGTTAGAAGAGTAAATAGTTGCAGTCTGTAAGGAAGCTTCCTGCTTACTATTGTCTTGGATAAAATTCAATATGTGAGGCAGTGCTTATGGGTTTGTGGTTACTCATACAGGACGTGTAGTATTAAGACCCTACTCCCCAGTTTAAAAATACTCAATGCCAGAATGGAGTGTATAATTCATGGTAAAAGTTCATCTGTTCCTTTATACAAACACAACACTTTTTACGGTTCTCCTTGATAATTTGTTCCTAAACCTTACAGTAAGACAAGGACTTCTGAAGAACATGAGCATTGCTTTTGCTTTGGAAGTCCTTCTGCCCTAGTCTGGATTTTAGCCAGGATATTATACAAGTCTATCAGGCAGGTGAACAACTTTTCCAACTACTGCCAGATTTAGACACCTTCCGCCTGGTTTGGAGTTCATCTCTGCCTTCATTCTGAAAGTTATTACCTCCATGGGTCTGCTACCACTAATTAACCAGTTACTGCTTGATTAGTTTCAGACAGACTAAGTCAGGCTAGCAAAGACCCTATCACTAAAATTGTTTCACCTGCATTTGGTCCTCATCAGCTAAAAGTGGAATAGGGAAACTACCATCTGGTGCATCTGAGAGATACCCACCCTTTGTGGGAAGTGAGATGATGAAAAGTTGTAAGGAGGACTGGGAACAGGACCAGAACCTGAAACTGTGAGATTCCAGGCCTGTATGGAAACTGTTAAATCATGGCCTGAACCTCTGATTGCTCACCTGAAGTAAGTACTGAGTCAGCCACGGGAACACAGACAAAGGCAATTCAGCTGTGTGAGCAGAGCCTGGCTCTACCTCTCCTACCCATTTAGGGCTGACTGCATTGGGGAAGAATCTCTTTCTGAAGATCATTCACTTTAGAGTTTTTCTGTGAGCCTAGGAAGGTGGGTGAGCATTTCATTTATTTTTGATTATCTCTTTCCACTGTGATAACCTTTCTAGTTATACGATCTGTAGGTATTAACCTAATTGTGCCACTCTGTATATTTGTTGATCATATGTAAGTCTCAGTGCTCACTGAGCATATAACAGTAACCTCATATTTAAAATGACATAGTTTGTGTTCTAGGTAGATCTTAAAGATGTTTGTCTGGCAGTCAAAAGTGAGAGGATCGTGTCAGAGGTGTTTAGTCTGGAATTCATCAAAGGCAGGAACATGAATTTGATAAGGAATTTTGTGTTAATACTTGAGAGCATCAACCTGCTTTCAGGCTGAAGGCATTAAGGGCATTTTGCTAGTTGCTGCAGTATAGAGGCAGGCCCAGGGTAGTTCCCAAGTGTCCCAGAAATGTGGCTGAATTGCCCTGGCTTTCTTTAGAAAAACTATTACTGTACAGCCTGAAATAGGCAGCTTGCAGTTATCCATTTATGTTCCTGTGATGGACATTCTTTAGAATTTTGTGGATGTTACACTTTTCTTTCCTTTTCAATGCTTTTCATCCATTTTCTACCTCTTTTTCCGTAAGTATATTGATTAATGTGAAACTAAAATTATTTCACTTGATACTCATACTTCTCAGAAAAGCAGCCTTTGAGGTTAGGGCTTTCTTATCACTTAGAGTCACAGAGTAATGTTCAAATAAAACTAAGGCATACATATATTTCATAAAAGTTTTTTCCTTTTTGTTCTCTGAAGGAGAGGCAGTCATATCCATGACTTCAGATTTGTTTTCAAAACTTAGTAATAGTTCTTAGTAAAGAGAACCAAAGTTGCATCAAATTGCATTCTGACCTCAAGGTATTATCCTCAAACTGCAATTCAAGGTGCTTCCCCTCATTAGCTTAATGAATGCTACAGCAGTTTGTCTTGGTTGACTTTTTCCATGAATAATTGTAAGCCCTTTGTTGCCATGACTTGATATAATTTTATGCCCTATCTCTTAATGATTCACAGGCAATTTGTTAATCTGAAACTTTATTTTCTCTGAAACATTTCTGTCCACAGTGATTATTTCCATTACTGCACCAAACTGAGTGAGAACTTTGGCACTTGCCCGTGAACCATTGCTCTATTTCTGTCAGAACAGATGCTAGGGAAATTTGCTTCTTTACTCTCCTGACACATTTTGATTAGAAATTTTGATCATATTCTTACTATGTGAAGAGGGGCTTTGATATAAATTAATTTACATTGATATACAGGTACTTTTCTATTATCTTTCTGATCTACTACAGGTATAGATGCCAACTCAATCATATTGGCAGCTGCTTGTCCTATACAAAGCATTTGTGCTGACTCCTGCTGTTACACCTCCTAGGATTTAAGTCATTGGATGAGCTGCTGAATAAGATACAGTCTACAGCTCATCTAAAAATAATAATTAATAAAAAAATTAAAAACTTTCCTTTCCTCTCTGAGTAGATCAATTCTCCTTTTTTTGGCTGATAGATCTTATGTGGATTTCCAGAGATTTCAAAGCTCGAGTCTCAATAATTATCCTATAACACTGTGGAGTTAAATGCTAAATAACAGGTTGAAATTTTTAGTTCAAGTGTTACTCAGGCACATAAATATGCATTTTTGTGAACAAGAATTAGCATTTTAGTTCAGATTAGGTGTGGGCTTTGCCTCTATGGGTTGCTTTGCACTACAGAGTAAGCAAACTGGATTTTATTCAGACCTACACAAAACTAGGCATGGTTACTGTACTCCATTCAGCTTCATGTGCCTGCCTATACTGGTCATCTGCTAACATGAACTGTTGGCTTTCAGCCTGTGAGATCGGGGAAGCCCAATCCTGACCTGGATGTATCTTGTCAGCACCACTGTACAAGTGTCATGCTTGGCTCTATGGATGACCAGTTGTCGTGCTGCACTGCCTCCTGTTGGAGCAGTAAGGCATAACCAGCGAGTCTGAAGATCAGAGAACTGTGCATCTCTTTACCTTTTTTCTTTTTTCTTTTTAAATGCCAGTCCTGAATGCCTGGGTGATGTTGTTAATAGTACTGATGCCAGTGAAAATTAATGACCCTTCTGTTAGTGTGCACTTCACAGACTTGTGACAATGGAGGGTAAGGACAACGAAGAGCCATTCCAATTGAACCTCAGTGTTTTTGCGTGCTTAAAAACATCAGTAATGTATTTTACTGTAAATTGCTTGAGATTCCCTGCAAGAAAGGAAACATGGTTGGAGACTGAGCAACACTTAAAAATATGTTTGCAAGTAAACATAACCCAGAAAGAGCAGATCATAAACAGTACTTGGTTTTACCTGCACGCAGGCATGCAGACACCAGTGACTGTGGGTGTAACTGAAGACTGATTTAGTGCCAACTACATAGTACAAATTGAGTGAAAATAGAGATGCATGTTTGTACTCTTTGCTTGCAGAAGCAAATTCTGGAATTTAAATGCTTTTGTGGCTCTATCTCTACTATGCTGTAATTTTTCTTGATGATAGTTGTGGGGTGGTGATGAATAATATCTTAAACTGAAAGCACGAGCCTATTTATGGACCATACTAATTCACGTAGAAGGCTTATTGATTCTTTTTTTTTTTTTTTTTTTTTTTTTTTTTTTTTTTTTTTTTTTTAACACATTTGCAAGGAAAACAGATTGGTTTAGTACTGTGGAACACATGGGCTGAACGCTGCCATCAGCCTCTGTGTGAAATGAGTTCTTTTGGTTTTAGGAGAACATTTTTTTCTTATGCTTGTAGATTTGAAGTGGTTCATTTTAACGCTAGAAAACATGATGCTGATTTTTGTAATTTTCTATGTATTAAATTGACAGTACAATGCTTGTTTTATTATTATTGATAGCAGCTTGGAGATTGCACCACTGTGTAATAACCAGCACCTAAAAGATTAAGCAATTACAAACAAGCGTTCACACAAAGTTATCAACTTAAAAGGTGTGTGCACATACAAAAATCAATATTTTATAGAAATAAGTTCGTTTTACAGATCACCATATGATTTTTCCTATGCAAAATATTTATAAACAAATCAGTGATTTTTAAAATCAGTTCAATATGGATTACAGAAAAACTAACAAGGTTTCATCAAATCAATAAGATTCTCATTAATACTACCCTCAGATTGGAAATGTTTGCTGTTAATACAAAATAATATGCTTTGTCTGCAGTTAAATTTGTCATATCATTTTACGTTTTATATATCGCTTCCCAGTCAGCAGTTTCTGATCCACTAATGTGAAACTTTTACAGATCTTCCATATAGTAACAACCATTTACAGGAGAAAGATTTTATTTTTTTTATTTTATTTTTTTAAATTAAGATTGTGTTACGTAACACCATGTAAAATGTGCAAATTGTGAAAATGTGGATAAGTTTCTCTTGCTTATGGTTGGATAAGCTTATGGCTATGGGCTTTTTTTTTGTGGGTGAAGGTGAGGTTTTTTTGTATTATATGTGATTTTTTTACTGGAAGTGTATAAACAAGTGTTATTGTAACTTCGAATTTTGATGCTCAAAAAGGTAGCTTCACAAGAACTGCTAATTTCAAAGAGAAAGGGCAAGTGTTACTCAATTATATTTTGTCTGAGTAACAATGAGAACAATTCCAACCCTGTAGCTTAGATTTTCTACTGGGTGTATACTGAGTGCAAATCATACCCATAGCTGAAGCATCTGGAATTCTGCTCTCTGCTTTAATAGAACAAAGCTTCTGGGTACAGTGAACAGAGTAAGCAACTGGGGAACCTCAAAGATATTTGAGAATTGAATAACTAGGTATACATATACTAATTTACATTCATGTGTCTTAAATCAGAGTGTTTTAAGTTGGCTGTTCATAATTGGTTCAGGAAAGAGCATGAACTATCCTCAATATGGTATTAATTTCTTTTCAACAATGCAAATGACTTACAAATAAGTCATCATACAAGTGCTAAACCTTGTGTGTGGCCAAATTATGTGCCTCTGTGAGAGAATGGAGGCCACATCAAAAAGGGAAAGCTAGTTAGAGTTATACTGCATGTTTCTCAGATCATTACTGATCTATGGCTCAACTTTCATATGAACAAAAGCATTGTTAAGCCAGTTAAAGTTGAAGGAGGACTACAAAACCCATTATGGTCTGAAGTTAAATACTTCAGGTGGTTGTCTCTGTGCTCTGTGCTGCTGCAATGCCTTTCTGCCATTATTTCACTTACTAAATGAAAAGTACCCTTGTACAACTTATACTTTGGCTAAAATTAGGAGACAGGGAAAAAAACACACCGGTCTGATCCTATAACGATCGTTGTCTTATGGGAACTACATGAAAGTACTTTAATTTTCATAAGGCTGAGCAGTTTGGCATCTAGTTCACATCTAAACCCTACTCGTCTGTATCAGGGAGACTTTTTATGTCCTTGATCTACTTTAAGGGCATAAAATGCAGTGATGTCTGCCTCTTTCTTTTACAGTACTTTCATTTTAGTACTTAATCCTTGGCGAATACTGGAGATAATGTTCTTGGCCTTTAAACACATACTACAGATATCAAAGGCATTTGTTAAGGGAAAATATGTGAGTCAAGAATAAAATGTATATTAATTGTGAAACTTAGAGTAATCAGATCATGTGAATATACTTGAAGACACATATGCTTGGATGAGATGAATCTCACCGCATGAGTTAAGGTCAAAACTGAGTTTTCCTGCTTATAATTCACAGTAGGCAGTGTTAGGGTTTAGAAACTTTCTTACTCCTTCAGAGTTGCTTTATCTAGAACGTTAAAACTACAGTTACATGCAGTCATCTTCCTTGCATATGTGATACAGTGGGACAAAGACCAGGGAGAACGGTGAATACTTGTGTTTCCCTCCACCTTTCTGGGGTGGAGGCTGATAGTTATATCAGTCCCACCTCCCGTATCTGTGTACTATGTGTCAATACTATGTGAATTCTCTGTCACTTGGTTTGGGAATATCAGGGC